ATTACTTTCTGTCGGTACACCATTCAGAAGTTGAATTGTAGATCTGTAAATGCATTTTCCATTATCTCTATTTGGCAGTTTCAAGGGGTGGAGGAAAGATGCTGCTATTAAAGGAGCCGTTTAAAGATCTACACATGTGGGTAGAGATTTTGTACTCTTATTGATTGATGTAATGGCAAAATATTTTGTACATTTGTATGCATCAGTCTCTGCATTTGCTGCATTTAATTAAATTGAATCTCCAAATAAACAGGCAAGTCAATTAATGCATATTGAAAATTCACAAATAACACTCAGCCATATAATAATTAAGGATTCAGGAATGTAAGTATATGTAATAGGCAGCATTTAACTGTTAACTGATTAGTTTTAAGTTCATGTCCGTTGAGGCCTTATAGTCTATTCTACGCTTTCTAAGATGCGGCCCTGTTAAGAGCGAAGCTCTCTTACATGTTTACTTCAAACTTCAAGAATAACTTGCATGGCACGCCTGCCTGACCTACATAGTAACTTTAACTTTAATGCAAATTGTTCTTAAATTTCAGGTAGCTACTCTTCCCGGAACGTGGTCGTCGTAGGTGTATAAGCCATCAATTTATTATATAGTCTAGGTTTAAGCTGGTCAATTTAATAGCTGACCGGAGGGCCTGTTGTATCTGTTTGTTGCTTCCTCGCTCTCTCTCTAGTTTTGTTTTTTGTTTGGGGGGTTGCAGCCAGTGCACTGGCTTTTTGGCAGACATGCAGAGTTTTTGGGGAATGGGCTATTTATTATTGATATCGTTACCCTTTAAGCGCACACTTTATGGAATTTCGTAGTGCTATCTGGCTGGGCCAAGCACAGTCTAACCACCACCACCACCACCGCCTACTGCTGCGGCAAATTCAATTGCATAATGCTGAAACGCTGTGCGCTCAAGAGCACAAAAGCCAAAACCCGAAGCTAGGTAGAAGCTGAGGCAGAAGCTGAAGCCGTAGCTGAAGCAGAAGGACGAGTACTGCTGGCTGGCTGCTATAACTTTTCGACTGTTTGCAGTGGAAAGCACTGACATGCAAAGCAGCAGAAAAATTGTCTGGCAAAGTTGCCAGTCAGCCCCTGGAATCGCAGATAGACAGCCAGTCAGACGCATAAACTAGCTGAAGATGCTGCTGCTGCTGCTGCTGCTGCTGCTGCTCCCGGTTTTCCATTTCTTTTTGCCCACGGTCTTGTACCATCTTTAAGATTGTTAACGCCCCGCTCCGCACACCTTTGCCGCGGCAAACAGACACGGACTAACACACGCACACACACAGGCACTCGTACAGCGCAAACTTGTCGAAAATATATACGAAAATTGTTTAACAAGTTGAAGGCTGCCTAGAAAACTTTTTCACCTTCTCAGCGCAACCCGAGTTGAAAAAAAGGAATACAAAAAAAAGAAGACAGTGCAGATAGTACGACTATAAAATACCATCTACACAGATAAGTAATCTTTGCTTCAGGTTATCAATTAACTTACTCAAATTCCCTTCACATAGGAAAGAAAAACAGATCCATTTTGCGATAATCTCACACACATAAGAAAGGTCTGGCATTCCCTTGATCCGGGCACAAATACTGGGCACAATAATAGGAAGTAAAAGTGTAGAATAGCAAAGTTTGCATTGATCCATAAGTTTTGCCAGCTTCGGAGCTGTTCCGCTTACAGGCTGAGGCTACACTTTCTAGTCAACTTTAGCAGCAGCTCCGAGTTGGGCTTTTAATTAAATAATTTCTGCTCACAATGGCAGGCAGGCAGTCAGGCAGGGATTCGGGATGGGGACTGACTGTAGCGGACATTGGACAAAGGATTAGCCAAAATGTTCTATGCATTCTGGCTGTCTGTAGATTCTCGTTTCTGTGCAATTATTTCGGCTGGGAAAATATTTAACTGCATTTCCTATTGATTTTTGCGCTTGCAATCAAGTTGCCTGCGAGGCAAGCAGGAAATTGACGATCTCCTGCAATTGTTGTGCCTTACCTACGCCGGAGGAGCAAGAACTTCACCGGGGCCAGGAAGTAGTGGGCGTATTAGAAGCAAAAGCTGAAGCAGCAGCACTACCAGTTATCCGCCCTTTTTCTTCCTATCCTATTCCCTCCCATAGCCCCATACACACACAGAGATTCCAGCACAAACAGATGAAGCTGACTGTGTGTCAAGAGAAGAGAAGAGAAGAGAAGCGGTAAGGTGAGGTGAGTGGGTGAGGTAGGGTGCAAGGAGTAGGGAATAGTTAGAAGGATGAAGCAATGCTCGTCTATCGTTTATAGCAATTTCATTTGACTTCTCGCCTGTGTTTGCCGTGGGTCAATAAATGAGCGTAATATTTGGACTTTGATTCCTGCGGCTATATCTATACTGAGGATGGTACGACAGCTTCAGCTGCAACGAAGGGAGCGAGTGAGTGTGTGGCAAAACTCTTCGGCTTAAACAATACAAAAGCAATCTCTTATGCCAGTAAAATGCAATGAAATATTAATGAATGCCAAAAGTATGCAGTAAATTCAAGCAGCATTTCAATGGAATTTCACCATAATCTCTGTTTGTGCAATTCTATTTTCCATCAAGTTAAATTTGCGCAAAAGACTGGCCAAGAGGTTGAGCTGTAATGACAGGGAAAGTGCCGTGCCAAGCAGCTCGCAGCGAAGGTAACGTGCTCAAACTAACTTAACACAAGGAAACAGGACACTGCATAGCATAGGGACACACGCATACCTGTAGTCCCTTTTGTACAGGGAACGTGGACAGCTAGGGCCAGGACAGGGCTAATTCTCAGTCAGCGAGCGCAGCACACGACAATGCAACAACGACAACTGCAATGGCAACGGCAACGGCAACGGCAACGGCAACTGTAACCGTGCTGCAACCGTGCACCCGCCACCTTTCCTTTTGTATTATGAAAGCAGCGGCAGGCACCTGAATGTACGAGCAAGAGTACGAGAATATATGCAGTGATTCTGCCTCAGACAGCTTGGCCGTGGGGGGTGTTTTTTTCTAGTCCACTCACTTGCGAAACCCCACTAAAAACGGTAAACAAAAGCAGGACAATAGCCGAGCGGTGGCGCAAGGAGAACGCTCTGGCATGGCATGTGTTCATTGTCCAAGAGCTGTTCATGCATGGGCACGCATTCGTTGGGGCGCCTGCCCTGCCCTGCCCTGCCCTGTCCTGTCCTGTCCTGCCCTGTAAGTATGAGAGTCAGAGCTGGAGCAGTTGGCATATCAACTGGTCGGACATGGTGTAAACACGTTTAATGTTGTTGCCAATGCATGGCTGCAGTTCCTCTGGCTACCTCTGGATTGGTCTTCAAAGCAGGGACTAGGGCTGGGAGTGGGACTGGCTCCAGCCTCTGTATCTTCTTGGCCGTTGTTTCTACGTTTAATTTAATCTACTAGCCAAAGCTGCCTGCTACCTTGTCAGGGTCCGCACTTCAATCCCCATGTGTGGGCGTGTTTCTGTGCAAGTGTGTCCGCCTGTGTGTTAAGGGAGTAGAAGGGAGGCGCTGCTCGAGTGCACCGCAAGTCCATTTAACTTAACTTTGGCAGAGTTGGCCCTAGACCTGGCTGGCTGGCTGACTGGCTGGCTGGCTTGGTTGGTTGTTGCTCGGTTGCCACGTCTCGCTGCATCACTCAAACACACACAGAGGGAGCGACAAGGATGCGTCGTGTGCGTCAGCCTCTTGCCGTCAGCCGTGGCCCAGCAACGTAACTGTGTGAGCATCGTAATTTGCATGGTCAGCTTTCAGTTGTGGGACACACTGAGTGGCAAGTTGCTCCTCGTCCCTGGCTTAATTGCATGCAGGAATAGAAGCAACAGCATCAGCATCGGAAACTTCATCCAATTGCTGGTACCCACTTTTGGGCAGTCCTCATTCCCCATTCCATCCCCATTCCACATCCCCATGTTCCATTCTCTCTCGGTGCCATCGATAGCGCTTCCCACATTAAAGTTCGGTTTTAAGCCTCAAGATTAATACGAAACCTAAATCATGCATGAAAAGAGAACAAAAGTCAAAACCTCAACGATACCTTCTGGACAGGTAATTATGGGCAGTTGTGTGGAACATTAACAGAAATAAATATATGCAAACGTTTACAGCATGGCGACATGTAGTTTTTCCGTACTTCAAATCAGACAATGTTCATATAACAGCGACTGACTAACAAAAAATTAATGAACAAATGGTGCGCTCCCTGTTTTCCATTTCTCTTTTTTGCACAATTTTTTCCGCATTTATAATTTTATATGTTCATTTGCAATCGTCACCAAATCACTTACATGCCATTTAATTTAAATGGCTTGTACGTTAATCAACGACAACAAAAGCAGGAATCAAACGAATAAAACCGAAAAGTTTTCCGAAAAGAAACTAAAAAACCGTATCAAAACGACTACCTCAATTTGAAATGGCCGCGCAAACTATCGATTCCTGGCAAGCATTTTCCAGCACTAAACATTAGTCAGCTGATTGGAGTACGCCAATCATCTGCCTCATTACTAGGGCTACCATTTACGGTATATATACTTTTGGGGATATTTTAAATATATCTATATATATATATATATGTATGATATATATTTTTAATTAATTTCATTAAATAGAGCACACAACTGCCCATACTATACTATATTATCGATTGGTCAGCAACAAATTGTCAAATAACGTAACATTTCCTCCCCACCCACGTACTTTTAATGCAATTTTTTTGGCTGACCTTTTTAGTTCTAACCATATGTTGTAAGCATAAAGATAAGTCATTAAAATTAGCCAATCTTGTGGAAAATTGATTGCTAAATCGTATAAAATTATGGTTAGCTCTTAGAATCCTAAATAGCCTAGTAAAATTAAACAGAAGATCAAGGTCGTGGTTAATGATTTAAGATTACCATACATGGACAGTACATTTTGAAAATGTAAGGGTATATTTCTGTATATCTCCGAGGGTCTGTCGGTATATTTTATCGATAATTTCAAGGTCTCACTGCTCATCACTAAGTAACAAGGGAAAACAAAACAAAAGCATATTTTGGCGCTAATTTGTTTATAACAAATGAACGGAGCACGAAAACTAAAGTGCCTGAAAACTGTACGCCTGGGCGAAGTGCTCTACGATGAACAGAAGCGGCTGCTGATGCTGTGCCGCAGCTGCGAGCATTTTTTTCTCACATTTCAAATTTTCCAAAAACATTTGGTCGACTGCTCGGGCGTTAAACATGTTGTGAATGCCACCGATCCACTCAACTACGCGGAGGACAAACGTGAGACGAAATTAGCAAACGATAGACAGGAGGTAAGTGGACACGGCTCCCCATGGGACAAGCCACACTAACCGGAGACTAATCTCTTCTTGCAGCTGCACATTTACAACATTGAAGATGTGAGCAGCAGTGCCATTGACTGGGAAACGGAATTGGAGGATCCACGCTGGTACGATGACGGCGAAACGTGTTTATCCGCCCACTCCAAACCAAAGTCATCGCATTCCAAAGAAAATGTGGTGGGGAAGAAGCTATTGGCCACTGAGAAGCGCAAGAACCCCCCTCAGCCCCAGCAGATGGCCGCAACAAAGACTGCAAGGCGTCGGCCGAGCCCGATTCATACTTATCTAGCTAAAAAGATGAAGACAGAACCTCTCCGTGTGCCCCATGTGACGGAGGACCTGCAGCGTTTGGTCCAGCCATCGCCAGCAGCTGCCAACGGTGATGGAGCAACCACCAAAGCAGCATCAGCAAACGGTGGTGGAGGGACCACGAAAGCAGCAGCAACCACCGACACCACCCAGCAGATACTCAGTAAACTGAGAGCTTGTGGCGTGGATGTGAAGCGTTCCAAAGCTCAAGCAACGCCCACACCGACAGTCGACCCCGATCTGGCGAAAAAGCAAAAAACCCTCGAAATTATGCGTAAATTGCAATCAAAAGGTATTCAGTGCACCAAAATCAAAGGTGAAAATAAAACGAATCAGATCTCTACACAAAGGCTGATGGGTGAACAACCTGAGCCAATAGTAAAATCCAGTCCAAAGCTAATTACTAAGCAATACAACTCAAAAGCCATAATAGATACCCAGCTTTCGATGAGAGCCGAATCCAGTAAACCAAAAATTAATACAAAGGATTACAATGCACCCAAAATCAAAAAGGTATCGTATGCGCCATAGCATAGAGGAACAATATAGAGCTCTTGGGTGCAATGGATTGCTTCTGGTTAAGGTATTATTTTATAAGAAAATGTTGCCTTTGTAGGCTAAACTGAGGAGTATTAATTAACAAACGATATTTTAAATATAAATGCATCCTGTGGAGCGACAAAAAATTAAACTGTTAAAGTGTAGCTTGGGTTGACTGTTTGGTGCTGGGAGCGAGTTGAGAGGTGTTGGTATGCTAGCCCATTAAAATTAAGTGAAGCAATTCGACACCACAATAATCCCATAGTAGATCTAGATATGATAGTCCCATCTGCCCTGTCCGTTGTAATGGCGACCTAATTTAACTCAATCTTTTGAGAATTTAAAGTGAATTTGAATTAGCATCTTACCAAACTTGGGCAAACTTCACCTTTTAAAGATTTTGGGAAACGGCTTACAGCGATGTGGCAGCACAGTAAAAAGCACAAATAATAGCTCAAGCTTCAACGAATTTTAATGTTGTGGCAACGCTGTTATACAATTGCCCGCGCAATTCAATTTGAAGAATATTCAAACCCCACATGATTATTGCGTCGTAGATCAAACCCACAAATGACGAAATAGACAAGAATAGTTTAAAACACATTTTGAATGTATTGTGCAAAAGTTAAAAGTACTTAAACATACATTTCTACATAAACAGAATATATACGTATAAATTAAAAGCATAAATCATCTTCGTTTGTTTTTTGTATATATAAAATATATATCAAAATGCTTCAAAGTAACAAAAATATTCGAAACAAACACTAGAGAAACGTTAATTACACTCTGCACGTACATGTGTGTGTATAAAGAGTGATTGAAATGTGGTGTAATGTTCTGTTCATAGCAAAAGCTGCGCAAAGTAATAGTCCAAAAATATTTATCTGTATTTATCAATTGAGGATATTTAGCAATCAGATTGCTGGCACTTGTTACGTTGAAGCAAATGTTCTTTTTTGTTTCTAAAGCATTTTCTTGTTTAATTACATACACTCGAAATTATTTGGGCTGCCGGTTGTGCTGGGATGGGCAGAAAAACGAATCTACTTGGGGGCCAGGCTGAGTTTTCCCAGCAGCTGGCTGGCCTGCTGGCCGGCACTCTCCTGGGCATGGCTGGCTGCGTCCTGGAAACTTTTCTCGGCGGCTCCGCGCTTCTGGTCAACGTACTGGTTGGCCTCGTTCAGCTTCTGGTCCACCGCCTGGCTGGTCTGCTTGAGCGCCCCATCGATGGCGCCCTCAGCCTGCTTCAGCTTCTGATCGGCCACGTTCTCGGCGGCCTTGACGCTCTTGTTGATGGCATCGTTGGCTGCCTTCTTGGTCTGATCGACGGCATTGGCGGCGGCGCGCTGCGATGCATCGGCAATGTTGGCTGCCACCTGCTTGGAGTTCTGGGCGACGGCACTTGCCTGCTGCACGGTGTTGTCCACAGCCTGCTTGGTCTGGTTAACAGCACCAGCAGCACGATTCACACCCTGATCGATGGCCTGGCCAGCCTTCTGGGCCTCGGCCGTGGCCAGAGCGGCAGCATCCTTGGCTGAGAAGAGTATTGTTAGTAGGGGAAGATCTTTATTACAGGGATTCATCTAATAGTTACCTGTGCTCGTGGCCAACTGCTCGGCCTCGTTCTTGGTCTGCTGCACGGACTCGCCAACCTTCTTGGCCTGCTCCTCGGCCAGCTTCTGAGCCTCGAGAGCCTTGTCGTTGGCCAACTTCTCAGCCTCATCCTTCTTCTTGCTGAACAGACTGGCGGTCTTGTCGCCAATGTTCTTCAACGAGGCTGTGAACAGATTGAGAAATCTTCGATTAAAAACTACCCACTGATGATTGGCAATCAATTTGATTTGTACTTTGATTTTGGCGACTAGGAAACATGCTGAGAGGAATTCTAAATGAAAACTAAGCTCAGAACTGTCTCCAATTATAATTTATAGCCTGATGTAAGTCATCTGATTACAGATTTGATAATTGCGATTCCAGATTCCAAATGCCAGACAGCTAATTGCCGAAACATAAACAAATCAAAGCTATTTATAAGTCGAGCATGAACGATTTACATGACCGAAATTCCCATTCCCAATCCTCGAATCGATTACTACGAGTGACAGTTTTTTCTTGTCTGGTAATGCGCACTTTGTGGCGACCAACTTGGACCGGGCATGTCGTCAGTTTTAAATTTTTAAAACACATCACGGCAACACGAATTCATATTTGTAATTTAATAGAAATTAAGAAGCGCGAATGCCCCGAATGCATTCCATTCCATTCACATCAAATGACGTGAGCGTTCACTGAAATAGAAACATTGCCGTTGTGCCATTATAAGAGGTCTGAGGTCTGAGGTCTGAGCCGCAAAACGGAAGCCAGAGGAACTACTTCTGGCGATGCTCCGAGTATTCTCGTATAAAGAGAATTCCTTTTTCTATGCATAATCGCAGAAATAGAAAACAAAATACAAATGTTTGAATAATTCAAAGTATGTGATGTCATAATGGAGGGGGGTCCGTTAAATGATTGTTCGCCTTTGGTTCTGAAACTTTTCTTCACGCTTTGCGATTGCGATTACGATTGGTTCGGGAATGTGTTTATACTCCGTGCATAGTTGTGCCAGCTGAACCCAACAGATACAGATACTTAAATGGATTCTCTCTGTTGCCACTCGGTTAATTTTCACATAATTTAGTTTTCGGGGCACTTTCAATAAGCATTTAATGATCAACACGCTCCCAAGGAGGCTGAAAATTGTGCGAAAAGCATAGTTTCAGCTGGGGGAAAATGCCTTCAAAGATGGAGCAAGGTGTGGGGTAAGGTGTGGGGGAGGTGGATAAATATCTCTCTACATAATGTTTTGATTGCTAAGAACGATATAGGAAAATGTCTGCAGGCTACGAGCTAAAAAGTGCTTGCATTCCTTATTTAATACTCTTAATATTTAATGAAGCTAAATTGAGTAGCTGTTGGGTTCCACTTCATGCATTTATCAGTGCTGTGTTCGGGATTAAAATTGAAACTTAAATATGCAAAGAATGCGCGTAATATGTCATCGATGGAACCAGCGCCGTTTGAAACTTAAAACGCAATAAATGAACTATTTATAAAGGGAACAAATCGAATATTTTTGGACTAAATTGTATTCGCTGCAGCACACACTCACGGATGTCTGCCCATACGTAGAACTCTCCATACACTCTGGCGCTGGCAACCTTTTTTGTTAACATTTGCGTAATACTTCGCATTTACGATACATTTTGTTGTTTGTGCTTTGGTTGGGGTACTGTGACGGTATGTGGTCAATATATATGTGTATAAAAGTATAAAAAAAACCGGCTAGAACGGCAGAAACGAAAAGCATAGCCCAGGAGCAATGCCATGAGCCATGAGCCACGCTAACAGCCCAACAGAATCTCCTCTCACAGCCTCACAGCCAGATGTGTGGTTGGTTTGTTGGTTGATATTCTCGTCGTACCGCAAATAATGCGCAGAAGCTTCATAATACATAGTGGAAAGAAAACCTGTAGTTGGGTTGCGAGCGAGCACACTGAAGCGCAACACACAGACACCCATACAGATGCGAGTGTGGAATACGTGTATCTATGAGTAACTGCGATTTGTGGTCTGTGGCGGCATCACGTTCCAGTTCCACACCAGTTCTGGATGGGATGCCTTAACAAAACAAAAAGTAAAAAGAGTAGTCCCAGCTCCAAGCATACGAATCGATGAAGCTCGCTGCTCTTTGTTGTTGTTATTGTTGATGATGTCATTTGGGATTCGAGATACGCACAGATACATGGATAAGTTTTCTAGCAGCGAGCGCGTGGCAAGCGGAATTCGCACGCCCAATCAATTGTTGGGTGCCCCAAAGGCGCGTCATCCATTCATTGTCGAAGGTCATCTACTTCGTCAGTCTACGGCTGGCAACAGCTGGCAACAGGCCAAACGAAGTGTGAGTCCTCGCCTCAGGACTCCCAGGGACAATTGACGGCTGATGTCATGGCCCCAAACACGGGCAAACGGTACGAGTAAATCAATAAGCCAGCAAACCAGCAAGGACAACGAAACTCCTTTTTTTTATGAGTAATGCAAAGTCAGGGAAAAGTCAGAACTTGTTCTCAACTGCGGCTGGATGGATGAATGAGAGATTCTATTACGAACGATTCCCAGTACATGTTTGACTGGTTGTCGCCGTCTCGAGTGTAGCTCAACGAGTGTCCAATTGAATTGAACGACCCTAAACCTGACCCACAAACGAGGCAACAAATTACAAGGCCCCCCTTGAAATTTGCGCAATCTTGATGGTGCTTGGGTGGTGCTTGCTCTTAATTGAATTACGCCTGGGCATTGGGGATGCCTGGGCGAGTGCAGCAGCCAGATAAGAATGGAAACTGATTGGCTGCATTGCGAATGCATTCGGGGGGATGCGCCACGGTAGGGGAGGATATAAGTACAGGAGAGCGGCCAGCGGCCAGAGCACAGTGACTAGGGTGACGAGGAAGGTATCTCACCTTCAAGACATGAAGCATCTACTGACTGCACTCGTGGTTGTGCTGAGTGCCGCCCTGCCCGGTGAGCAGATCCTGGGATCGGCAGCCGGAGCCGGCTGCAGCCGCCGCTACCTGAGGCGGATCAATGGCAAGTGCTATTACTTTTCCGTGAAGAAGGTAAGGCACTGACTGACCACCACTGACCACCAGTTACTCATCCCATTTTTGACAGATGAACTGGCATGGGGCGCTGAACAATTGCCTGCGCAAGGGCCTGACTCTGGCCGATCTGAGCAACCCAAGAGATTTCTATGGAGCCATCGGCTTCCTCAGCTCCAAGGGCAACACGGAGGACTTCTGGTTCGGGGGCAACGATCTGCAGCACGAGGGCCGCTTCCAGTACATCAGCAACGGGCGCCTGGTGCGCTTCTTCAGCAACTACAGCATTGTGGAGCCCGCGGAGCACTCTGAGTGCGATGATTGCCTCGAGGTGCGCATCCGCTCCAACATGACGGTGGTGGCCGATGACAACTGCCTCGAGCGGCAGTATTTTATCTGCTCGGAGCGCTACTGTGACGACTCCGGTGCCGCCGCCAAGCCCAAGCATCACAGCCACGAGCATCTGCATCACTTCCACCACGACATTGGAGACAGCGACGGCGACGAGAAGGAAGTCAACGATGCCCCGCACCTTACCAGCGGGTCGGTAGAGCATGAAGGCAGCGAGTCGGAGGGTGCCGTAGAGTTTGCCGATCTGCCCGACGAGCTCAATGCAAAAACGTCAACCACGCAGATGATGGCGCAGATGGATGGGATGCTGACTACAGATATGGGACCTCCGCCAAGCGACTTGCCTCCAACAACAGTCAAAGATGAAGATGAAGATGAAGAAGGATCCTCCGACGAAGAAAAATCGTCTACGGAAAACAGTCAACGGAAATTGGGTTCTTCAGATGAAACAGGCGAAGACGAGGAACGGCCACCTGGTGATGGACTTGGCACACCAACACCGCCGCCAGAAGGAGAAGGATCTACGCCAGCAGGGACAGAAGGAGACGGAGAAACTAAATCCGGTGAAGGTGGAGTAACTACAGCGGGAGAAGGTGGAAGAACTGCAGGCGCTGAAGGTGAAGAAACCACAGGGGCAGAAGGTGTGGAAACTACTGCAGGAGAGGGTGGAGTTACTACGGCAGGAGAGGGTGGAGTTACTACGGCAGGAGAAGGTGCAACAACTGCAGGTGGAGAAGATGGGGCAACCACTACGGGAGAAGTAGGAGGAACTCCAGCCGGAAAAGTGGAAGGAGCTGCAGCCGGGGGAGGAGCTGCAGCTGGAAAAGGCGAAAAAAATGCTGCAGGTGAAGGTGGAGAAACTCCTGCTGCTGAAGGCGAAACTACGGCAGCGGCTGAGGGCGGAGCCACGACAGCGGCACCCGAGGGTGAAGCCACGACAGCGGCGGCCGAAGGGGAAACGGGAGCAGCACGAGCACCCCGGGCAAACGGAGTACCTCGATCGCAGCGAGCTGCACAAACACCCCTAGCAGCAATACACCACTTAATCTAATGCAAAATCCAGTTCTGTTTCTATTAAATCATTCTTCAATAAAATACAAAATCCTTGAGCCAAATTACGTTTTGTGTGAACCTTTGGGCAGTGAGTCCAAAAGATTTGGATATATACATACTTAATTCAAGAACTAAATGCAATTCGAGTAGATTGCAAGACTGCAACATCTTGAAGGAACTTCTCTGCATTATTAGGTGTTGAAATAACAATGGGATGGGATGTAATGGCTATTTATTGGAATATATTCACATGAATATACACGTAGTCTTTTGACAATATCAATTTATTTTGCTTCCCAAATGAAGGAACTTTTAACAGCATCTTCCTCCGCAGACTGGAGCATCTACAGCGAGCATCCAACTCTGATTGATTTGAATTATTTGAGGCACCGAGTGACCCATTGAACCACGGAACCACTGAAGGTTGAGGCACGTCCAATTGCATTTGATCGATTCGCTTGACATTCGATATGAGGCGGAATGGACGTAGGACCCAATTAAAGTGAGTGACTCTGCGATTGGCGGCTAATGCTCTCGTCACGGACTCAAGAGGGTATATATAGAACAGGAGTTAGCACGCAAGTGTACAGTTTGGATGGACAGGCGGCAGATGCAGCCATGAGGATTCTTCAAATTGTGATACTGACCTTGATCGTAGCGCATCCCGATCAAGTTCTGTCCGCCCGAAAGCGCGGTAAGGACAAAAAAGCGGATGCCAAGGGAGGTCCTTGCGGGAAACCCTATCTGAGGCAGCTGAATGGAAGATGCTACTACTTCTCCGCTAAGAAGGTAAGTTCGAGCAGTCTAAAAAGGGTTACGGGGCTCACTCATTCAGTGCCCTCCATCCGCAGATGAACTGGTTTGGTGCCCAGAACAATTGCCTGCGAAAGGGCCTCAATCTGGCTAATTTGGGCAGTCCGGAGGACTATAAATCGGTGCTCCGCTTCCTGAATATGCGGGGCAACATGGAGGACTATTGGTTCGGGGGCAACGACCTGCAGGCGGAGGGACGCTTCACCTACATCAGCAATGGCCGCATGGTCCGCTACATGGGGGAACTGGGCTTGGTGGAGCCGACGCATCGCTCTAACCTTGACGACTGTCTGGAGGTGAGGCTGCGGGCGAACAGCACCATGGTCACCGATGACAACTGCCTGGAGAAGCAGTACTTCGTCTGCGAGAAATTCGAGCAGAAGTGTGCCACGCCCACGAGCGATGCGGTGGACAACACGCAGCACAGCCACGAGCACTTGCATCACTTCCACCACGACCCAGCAAAAGGAGAGAAGAGGGAAGAGGGAGGGAGCGTTCAGGAAGGTATGGAAAGCGATTCGCGGCCGGTTGATAATACGAATTCAGCGGAGGTTGGGGAAACGAGCCTTGAGGCACCGCAGGCGCTGGAGGAGCCAGCAGCGCAGGAGCCAGGAAAAGAGCCAGGGACAGGGACAGAGCCAGAGGCAGAGTCAGGGGCAGAGCCAGAGGCAGAGCCAGAGGCAGAGGCAGAGGCAGAGCCAGAGGCAGAGCCAGAGGCAGAGCCAGAGGCAGAGCCAGAGGCAGAGCCAGAGGCAGAGCCAGAGCCAGAGGCAGAGTCAGGGGCACAGTCAGGGGCAGAACCGGAAGCCGCACAGGCACCCGAGGAGGAGGAACCGATCGACGAGAGTTCACCTGACGAGGGTTCAACTGACAAGAGCGAATCCGACGATGAAACTAAAGAACAAACCACTCCGTCTACTAGCAGAAGTGAACCTCCAGCGGGTGCTGAGAACCCAGCTGCAGAGGGAGGCGCCACCAGCCCTTCCGCGGCTCAAGCTGCTCCTGGTGCCAGCGTCCAGCCAGAAGGTGCCCAAGCCACGACCCCCGGCACACTCGAGGGTGCACCGAGCGCCCAGGCTGGCCCAGGTGGCGAAACCATCTCCACTGCTGGTCCAGGTGCCGAAGCTCCAGCAACTGGTGAACCTGCGGGCGGAGAAGCTGCAGCCGGAGAAGGCGGAGCAACTCCACCGGCAGAAGGAGGCGCAGCTACTGCAGGAGAAGCAGGAGCAGCTAATGCTGGAGAAGGCGGGAAAGCTGCAGCGGGCGAAGGAGGAGCAACTACGGCAAGTGAAGGCGGAGAGACTAAAGCCGGGGAGGGTGGAGAAACCCCAGCGGGCGAAGGTGCAGCAACTGCAGCAGGGGAGGGTGCCACACCTGCAGGCGAAGGTGGAGCAACGGCAGCCGGAGAAGGTGGAGCTACTGCTGCGGCAGAAGGTGGAGAAACTACAGCCGCGGGAGCAGCTGCTGAAGGTGCCAAAACCACCACTGCTGGGTACCAGTTTGTTCCACTGCAGGAGTTCACCTATAACCCAACCCACTGAACCACACTGAAGCGAATGTCTAGAAATCTAAGGGATCGATGAATATAAATACAAAAATATATGGTTGAGTTTTCAAACGAATAAAATAATACAAGCGTGAGAGTGTGAGAGAGAACGCGAGATTGCAGAGGGAATCGGGCTGTGTTTGTGTTGGCTAGGAATGTTTTGTGGTGTGGCTTTGCAGATGGATCCGCGGCATGCAGTAGTTGTATAGTTGTAGGATGAGTATTTCTGAGCCTTGTAGGGGAATGCAGCTACTAATATTGAACTAAACTACGACGCAGTCGGTGAGGCATGTCTAGACATGTTCAAAACTATCAACTAAGTTCTTGGCAGTGTGAAAAGTTCGAGAGAGTTCAGGAGATCGACAGATCGGGCTACTTACATTTCGATGCATCTGTTTTGCAATGACATTGAGTGGGGGGAGCAGATAATATTTATAAATACAATATATTGTATGTATGTGTATATTATGTCGAAAATATACGATAATATATTACTGGCTAAAAGGCAGAACAGAACCAATTCGCGTTTCTATTTTGTTGCCGCTTGCTTTCAAGTGGAAAACTTTTGAATAATTTCGACAAAATAGCGAAATCAGACATACGGCAAAATACTTATGAATACATATTCCACTTGTGTTTGATTTGATTTTTTGCACCCACTTCAAAGAACATAAATATTCAATCCATTATGAACAGATACATTTTTGAAACTCAAATAAATTCCAAAAGAAAACATAACTAAAGCACTGTCCCAATAGATATACAAAGTATATACATAGAATATATATAGATATAGCTTATAGATGGAACACTCTTGTATGTATCTGAGTAGCTATAATTATATTTGTTTGGGTATGGGTGGGTTGTCTCTGAGCGAAGAGCAACTTATAGTTATGTTCCCAAAGGGGATGGACTGCATAGAAACTGCGCCATAATTGGCTTACGTATCGTCATCATCATCGTGGGTAGCATCATCATCTAAGGCAGCAGAGGAGTCAAGCCACGGTAGCGGACAATTAAGTTTTTGTTATTGCTTCTGCTATCGGATCGAACACGCCCCAAAGCCCCACCCACACAGAGTGCCATCCCATTTCCCGGATCCCAGCGGCCACACAGCTCCAACTCCTTCCTTGCTGATGATGTAATTTGTAGTCACTTTTTTTTGCTCCATTTCGAATGCGGGTCATAGGTCAGACCTTTGGTCTGGCGTCTCACCATTCCAATTAATCCACATACATACATTCATACATACACAAATACATACATGCACGTATATTTAGCAACGTAGAAACAGAGTATATACTTAACAACTTTAGATTTCTAATTTGGCAACTTTCACAGCAATTCAAATGGTTTCTTTTTTACCTGTAATCGAGCTGAACATTTTGGATACTTTGTTGCTGCGTGCTTCGCGTTATTCACTCGGAATTAATTAACTTCCTCGCTTTGGCTTCTATCTTTTTTGAATTTGTGCTGGAATTTGGTATTTGGGTGTGTTTTGATGTTTAGTCTTAGATGCGGTCAACGATATTTTGGTATTTGGTGCCGAAGCGCGTTTATTTTTAAACCGTCCGATTTCTTGTTCTGTTGGTTGCAGTGTGACCGCAGAGTTATCCCTCAAATAAGCTCGAACTAAAGCTTTCCATTTTCTAGAAATATACCTAAAAATATACCAACAGAAAATCCACGAAATTCCTCGACTTTGATTTTCTCACTAGTATTACCAGCTAGTTAAGATTCTTAGAAATAAAACTATAATTGAATCCTCGCGGGCTCATTTTTGCGTTTCAAAGATGAGCACGAATATACAGCAGAAATATACCAAAAGTAATATACGTTCACATTTAAAAATGTTGTAAAAAATACCTCACAAAAAACGCACATTTCTGCATTTCAAAGCTTAATATTGCCCAAACGGTAAGATAAAACCACAAAGTGTTTGGATACACTTTGTAGAGGCATTCATTAGCTTTAAATAAAGACTACGTTTATCACAACCAGATGTAAGATACTTGAGTTGTGTGAAAAGAACAGCAACCTCTAAAATAAGCGTAAATAAAAATACCAGATTTTAAAAATTGTTTAAATAAAGGTTCAGCCATAGAAAAAAATAAGAATTTTCAAACCATTTCTAAGCCCCATATATTTTATTAAAAGTTGGTTTGGATAGAAGAGGCAAATCGTGTCGAGTAGTGTTATGATTACCAGCTAATTAGGAGTTTCAGCAATAAAAATATAATTTTATTCAATTCATTAATCAATTCTCCACAAGATTTCACGACTTCCTTTTATTAAACTGCTTTCAAAAGAAGGTTTAAACTATAAAGGTCAACAACAACAAAAAGCATAAAATCCCCAAAAGTAAGAGAGAAACTCAAACTAATCGTAATCTCACGCCAGTTGGCATTTGAGTGGAATTTGTATTGGCTGCTTGAGCTAAAAATGGCACTCTAGAGACATAAACTGATTTTTGAGCAGCGTCCAGCTTTTGTCAGATATCCAAAAGCCTAGTTAATGCGCTGCCAGATATACTAAAAACAATGTTTTAAGCTTTGCCAGACTGTCAAAACATTTTTTGATTTAATGCTTTGGATATCCTTTTTATTGTCAGGTCTAAAAAACAGCTCCATTCAAGAATTGCTTCCGTTTCTCAATTTTTACCACATTAAAAGCAAATGCAGAGTTGCCGGCCACTAGAAAAAAGAGAGTGTCGAGCAATTTCAGCAAGTAAATTAGTCATGGCCTGGGCTAAAAGAGCCATGTCGGGTATATTTTACTTTAAATAACTCGTACGAGATCTCGTTTATTGATTTCAAAAAATGTTCCTCCTGGCTTTGGTTTATTTGCTGCTGGTGCTTGATAGTCCCCTCCAAGTCAAATCAAATAATATTTCGAGCTATTTAAGAGGCTACTACCATCAGGTGAGCGGTGTTTGATGCCTAAATGAATGCATTCCATCTCTTATTTTGCTCTCAAATGCCACAGCCATGGAATGGTGATCAGTCTGATCGCTCAATACCGAGTTATGTAAATATTTTCGCTGGCGAGCATCACGTGTTCAACAATGAAACTTCCGATGCTCAGGATCTGCTCGATATCCACAAAATTGAGTTCGGACGTTCGCCACGCCAAATTAAGAGTGTTTCATGAGTGAAAATAAAAGTATTGAGAGTAAAAATTCATGTGATTACAAATTTTAATTAAATGACTCTGCTAGAATCTACGTAGGGTACAAATATATGTGTATAAAACAGTCGACTAAAGGTAAAACTATCTCTAGGATTAGCGTGTATCAAACAAACACTTAGGACTATGTACAGTTACATATTACAAAGGAATTTAATTGTGTGTGTGTGTGTGTGTGTGTGTTATGGCAATGGGTGTGTGGTTGGTGTCCTGTCCCCTTCTACTTGTTGAAGTTCTCAATCTGCTGAAGGACCCAGCTGCGCGATGCCGACTGACAGACGACAATTCCTCTTTTGAGCTGATGCTGGTGGGCCAGCAGCCCTTGCACGGCCTCCTTGGAGGGTTTCGGCGGTGGGGAGGGGCGTGGCCCAAGTGGCGGCGGCGGTGGTGGACTGCTGGGTCGCCTGACGTCGTAGTCGCCGCTGCGCTTCTCATTGTCGTCGCTGTAGATGGCCGAGTCGCGGAAGTCGTTCTCCAGACTGTCCTCCACCTGTCGCTCGTACTCGAAGTTGGTGGGCCGCGGATCCGCCGCGGAGCGCTTGCGCTGCTGCTCGCACATGCTGTCGCTGGAGGAGGAGGTCAGCGAGAAGACCGAGTCCCGCTCCGAGCTGACCATGGCCATCAGGCTGAACAGCATTTTGGGATCCGCGTAGTCGACGTGGGCCATTCGCTCGCCCAATGCCTCGCTGCCCTGCCGATGCAGCACGCTCTGGCGGCACATCTCGCTCACATCGGAGACACGTCGCTCCGGGGGCCGGTTGGTGCGGCCAAAGGCCAGAGTCAGGTTATCGATGGACTTGAGGGCACGCGGCAGCAGTGAGCTCTCCGAGTGGGACACGTTCTCGTGGCCATCTCCACCGTTGGCGCCGCTCAGCAGGCGCTTCATCAGGTTCTTTGGTATGGGGCGGGCGTATAGGGCGGTCGTCTGATCCTCTAGGCAAAGGTTGATCACCGTCGTCTGGCTGTCACGCTTCAGGGTAGAGCCGGAGGAGGAACTGGAACAGGTGGCATCCGAGCTGCAGCTGTCCCGCTGCACTGCCTCCTCGCCCACCCTCTGAAGCACTCCCTCCGGTGAGTAGACCAGAGTCACGTAGTCCGACTCTGGACGCGGTGCCCCCGTTGTGGTCTTGCTTCGCTTCATCAGCATCTGGGAGGACTTGGCGCGTCCTAGGACGGGGGAGAACTTGTACGGGACATGGACATTGCGCAGCAGAGTCTCGTAGATGGGCTCCTCGTGCTCGGCCAGTCGCTCCACCTGTCGCTTGGCTTGCTCCTCCAAATCCAAGGGCGGCGGCGAGCGAGACGGCGGGCGTGGCGGCAGGGCTGGCACTCGATTGAGATCCAGACTGGGCGACAATGGACTGACGGGGCTGACGGGACTCTCGCGCCGCTTCTGCTGCTTGTTGTAGATGCGCTCGAACTCCTTTGTGTTCTTGAGCAGATCGAGCACAATCTGGGCATCACGCTTGGACTTCTCCGCCGCCGACAGCAGCTCCTGGTTGCCGTAATACTGATCCTGTTCGTGGTCCACACCCACCACATCGGACGTGGGCTCGTTCAGCGTCTCCGCCTCCTTGGCTAGTTCAATGTCCTGCTCGTGGCGCAGCTCCTCCGTGGACTCGGTTATCTTCAGGATGGTGGAGCTGCTGCTGTCGAACTCGCTGAGATCCATGTAGAACTTGGAGCAGCTCTTGCTGCTGGTGCGCTGCTTCTTCAGCGTCGCAATCCGCTTTGGCATGGTCTTGTGGTTGTATTGCTTCACCTCGAAGAAGCCCTTGGCCTTGGCCTTGCGCTCGCTCAGATCGGGCTTGCTGCCCCGCAAAGAGGCGGCGCTGTCATCGTCCTGCTCCTGCTCCCGCTCCCGCTCCCGATCCCGGTCCTGCTCTGCCTCCTCGTCCAGGCTGAAGCCACCGATGCGTGGCACGGACTTGCTGCGCTCCTTGAGCGCCTTGTAGCTAAAAACTGGCGACTGCGACTTGGCACTGCGACTACGTTGATCGCGCAGAATGCACAGACACTGATCCGCCGGAACCGGCTGATCCTCCTGCCTACTGCACTTGCACGCCTCCTTGGAAGGGGATTTGGTCGCATCCTTTCCAGAGGCATCTCGCTTGCGATACCGCATGGCGGCTGCCAGCTTCTGTAGGGCCGTGTCATCCAGGCTGTTGTTGCGGGACAGCGGCTTCGTGGGTTTCGCAGCCTTGTCGGCTTCCTGCTCCTGGCTCTGGTTCTGGTTTTGGTCCAGCTCCAGGGACTCGTTGAAGGAGCTATCGAAGGAGGTGGAGTTGCTCACCGTCTTGCGCTTGCCCTTGGAGTTGCGCTGTCGAATCTCGCTCCGACGACAGGCATTGCGCCGCTCCAGGTACGTGGGCGTGGAGTTGCTGCTGGAGTGAAGGCTCCACTTCCAGGTGCTGCGATCCGGTGTGCGATCTGCGGGAGAGCCAACGTTAGTTGAGGATTAAAACCAAGAGCGGGTCGTGATAAGCGGGTGAGAGCGGGAGTGGGACAAGCACCAGTGTGTGAGGAGTAGAGGAGGATGCATTCTGGCAGCCCAATCGTGGATCATGCGGCTCATGCGGTGGTCAGTGACTTGGATTAGTAGTTAAGTTGGTTCTTTCGTATGTGGGTTAGGATGCATGCAACACACAGACCCCGATCCCGAGCGTGTTAATAAAGGCCAATTAAAGCTAACAAATCCAACTAGAAATAACGAATCTCTTGGTACTTACTGGGCTCTCGATAACAACCAGCAACGAACGATAAGCGATAAACCGACTCTACGATTACGATTACGATTAACGATTAACGATTACAGTTAGGATGGTTATAAATATTGTACTGGGATTTTATTTGGTTATTATAGCAGTTGGCTTGTCAATTCAATTTAGTTTTCTGATCGCATTTTGGTGAACATTTTGGTAGATTTAGTTTTCAGTTTTCAGTCTCGGGATGGGGTTGGTTTTTGCCTTAGAAACACCCTTAAAAACTAATCAAAGTTTTCTTTTCTTTGTTTTGGGTTGTTTAGTTTTAGAATGCATCACTGGTAGTACTACAACGGTAAACATATAGCATTTGTATAGAGAATAGAGTTAATTCAGATCGAGATAAATAGCAAAACACACAAATAAAGCTAAGAGTGAGTTTAGCCTTGAGCTTTGCCACCTAATCAACTAATTAGTATTAATGTACGACACCAAAAAATAACAAAACAAAGTTTACATCATGATGTGGACCGAAACAGATGACGATTTCCCGTGGTACAGTTGTGCCCAAGAAATTTGCAATTAAAATGTGCCTACATCGAGGCAGAAAATAAATAATAAATCAACTTGCCAGCCGAGGCGTCGACAGATTTGGCACGATTTTGGTTTGGGGAAAGGCAACCAGAGACACAGAGCACAGAGGCACACAAATCTCTCCTAACGACTCTGTGGCACTCGGTTATGTCACTTGGTTTAGCTGGAGCGTGCGAATCATACATTGTACAGTGAGAAAGGAACAGGCACTTGCAAAATGGGTAAAAGGTACCCGCATGTGCATAACTGTAGCGTCAGGCGGCAGGCTTAGCCACTTCATCATCTGTGCCTCATTCCCAGTCCAAATCGTTAAGTGTTTCGGCCACATCAACAACAGCGACATAACTACAACAACAACAAAAAACTAGACTCCTAGAGGCAAGAGGCTAGAGGCTAGAGCCTAAACCAAACCAGCAAATGGAAGACCGTGTGGTGCGCTCACCTTCCTCGTTGCCCAGCTGATAGACAAGCTCCTTGGCTCGCATGGGTATGTCTAGCTTCTCCAGCATGACGCCTTTAATGTGCTGCGTCCACACACGCTTCTGGTCACGATTCCTGGCCGTCAGCTTGATTTGATGGCGCGGCTCATCGAAGGGTATGACATAGAAGCTGGTCGGCTCCCCAGGCAAGTGTTCGCTCAGCATCAGATTATTTTGCTGTGCGAGAGAAGATCTGGTAGTGAAAGTGGCAGAGATCCCAGGGAGATCCTTCAACTCACGTGTATGTAGGTCTTGAACTGCAAGCGTCCGTCCTCCTTCTGCTTGGTGATGATCAGCATGGTGGCAAAGAGCAGCACCAGACGCGGCTTGTTGTGCTGCTCCATTAGGAGGCCCTCCTGGCGCAGTTCACCCAAAACGGTTAGCTCTACGGATGCCACAAATGTTAGCAGAAGTTTCCCCTGGAAATCACAGAGCACTTACCCGGTCCGAGCCAGCCATCCAGTATGCCAGAGAGCTCCTTGACGCGGCTCTGCTGCTCCTGCTTGCGCTTCACTTGGTCAATGTTGTGCGCCACCTGGCGCATAATCGCATAGGCCTCGGCCACCTCCTTGACATCGCAGTGTTTGCGCAGGCTCTGTGGAATGGGAGAGACAGTCAACTGTCAGTCACTGTAACCCCCGTTTCCCCAGTTCGTACTCACGTCGAGCAGCAGATGGTACTTCAAGATGCGCTGAACCGGCTTCAGCAGATAGGAGCCCAGGGGCAGGCGATGCTGCAACATCTTCTGCGTGGAGGCCAGCAGGGAGTTGGTGTGCGTCGCCTGCAGCAGTTTGGTCAGCAGCGAGATGGCTTCCGGGTAGCTGGTGCTGCGGGGGAGGCGAAACGAATGACATATTCGTAGAGTGAACGGGCAAGAGATTTATGGCTGGTGCTTCGCATGGGAAAGCGCCTTTAGGTCTTCATCAGGCGAACATGAAATTTGACTTTAAAATCAGCTATTTAACGAGTGGGAGGACAGGACCGAGGCAGGACAAACGGATGATATATGCCGCTGTGTCATTCGGGGCGACAAATCAAACTCCAGCCATCAAACTGGCTGCCCTCGCTCGACTCCAAATTGGCACTGACAGGCCCCAACAGCGGAGCAATGGGGCAATGGTTTTGGGGTAAACGTCAGGCGTTTAAATGGAACATGGCGTGCCTGGACTGCCAAAGATGTGGCCATCGTCATCGTCATGCCATGCCATGCCATGCCATGCCATGCTGCTATCGAGATTATGTGGCCTGACCGCCGCCGCAGTTACCGTTCTTGGCCGCCATTCGTATCAGAGATCCAGCAAACACGCCAGTCAGCCAGCCAACCAACCAACCAACCAACCAGTCAGCCAGCGATGGTCAGTGGCTTGCCTCCAAATCACAGTCAGGGGAAGAGGTCAGAGCAGAACTCGGAGGAGATTTACTCACCAATAAGTTGTGTACACATCAAAGCCATCGCGCAGATCTATGAAGCATCTGGCGATTCTGCCCGGCTCCATGCCCGAGTTGATTAGACGCTGCAGCAGCTGCGAGTTGAATTCGTAAATCTCTTCAATGTTGGCAAAGAGTATTTGCAATTCGTTGATACGCAGACACGCACGCTCCTTCCAGTCCAGCAGGTAGCTAAGGTAGGACATTAGAACATCAGTTACACATTCCATGGGTCAGCTTTGGGACATCACTTACCCCTTGATGACCTGACCCAGATCCTCGACAAAGCTGCGCTCCGAGTCAATGATCTCGAGACTCGCACGCTCCAGGACACTCATTGTCACCGTGTGATGCGGATGATGATGATGGTGTGGATCCCCCAGCTCGTTCTCGCTCTCCGCCAGACTCTCCACACTGGCCAGATACGAGGTGGCCGTGTGCTTCCCGTGCAGCAGCTGATCTGAGCCCGAACTCGAGCTGGACGATGTGGAGCAGATAGAGGAGGAAGACAGCGGACGATTGTTGAGGCGTGCCAGTTCGCTGAGGCGTGCGGCAAACTTTGGCTTGATGTCGGTCAGACGATCCAAACTCTCCGCCGACAGCTTATTGGCCTCCTCCAGCTCCGCCAGCTGCTCGGCTGTGGGCAGCTTCAGCGGCACTCCAGCGCCCAGTGTCGAGGCCTTGGCACTGAGGCTCTTGGTGCGGGCATAGGTCAGCAGCGGGGAGCTGCTGATGGTTGAGGCACAGGCGGCCGAGGAGCTGCGCACCAGCGGCTTGCCGATCAGCGGCTTGTTTATGGCCTCGATGAGCTCCGCCTTGGGACCCTCGTTGGCCCCCAGATCGCCCAGGGTGAGCCGCTCGATGTGCTGGGCCAGCAGGTCAAAGTTGATGGTCTCCACCACGGGGCTGAGGGGTTCGCTGCACACAAACTCCTTGGGCCGCACCACGGCGGCGGGGGTGGCGGGGTCGGCGGGTGTGGCGGGCTTTGAGGAGGGGCTGTCTGGGGTGGCTGGCTGGGCGTGCTGCAGCTGGGCACTGGTGGCCGCCAGCTGCTCCATCTCGATCAGCTTGATGCTCTGCTGGGACTCGTAGCGGGGCAGCGTCAGTTTTCGGGGGGAAAAGGGGTTACCATCAAAGTGGAACGGGGTGCCGGGCACGCTCTTGTTCGTGGGTGTCCTGTCGTCGTCCGAGGGTGTCGCTGGCTGCGGCTTTCGCGCCTTCTCGGCGGCGGCAAAGGTCAGGGAGTTGACGTACTCGTTGCTGGCGTCGAAGGTGGCCACCAGTTCGTGTCCGCCCTGCGTGGACAGCTTGCCCGTGATCTTGGACAGGGGGATGTGGGAGAGTTTCAGCTTGGGCGTGGACGTTGCAACAGGAGGATGCCCTCCTCCTCCTCCTCCTCCACTGTTGGTGTTTGTCTTGACGTAGCGCCCTTGCGTGGGACTCCTTTGGGATAGCTGCGGGGAAGGTTGTGACTGCTGCTGCTGCTGCTGCAGTGCCTCAATGTCAATGGCATCCACTGGCTCGGCGTCCGAGTGCGTGATGATGCGATGCACGTTGGCGGAGAGGATGCGAATATTGTTGCCTCGTCGGCTGCCGCTCGAGGCGAGGCTGCTGTTGCTGCTGCCCAGCTCCTGTCGCCGATGCACCACCAGGCGGCTCAGCTGTGCCCCATCCGGCTCGTCCCGCAGCCCAGCAACCACCACTGGCGGAGCACGTACGCTGGCTGCAAGCTGAGAGCTGGAGGCAGTTAGCGAGTAGCTGGCAGATTGATCATCGCTCGAGGATCTGCTCGATGTGGAGCTGCTGTTGCTGCTGCTGCTGTTGCTCCTCTTGGGCGTTGACTCTCCACTGCTGCTGTTGGTCTTGGTTTTGGCTTGAGGCTGGACCTGGCTCTTCGTCTCGTGTGTCGCAGTGGGAGCTGCCACGCCCGCGCTGGCGGCCAGGCTGTTCGTCAATGTGTCGTAGATGCCCAGCAGCGAAGGTGCCAGCTCTGTGGTGCTACCTGTAACGAGAGAAAATGTTTAGCTGCAGTTTTTGGCTGTGTGTGTGTGTGTGTGTGTGTGTGTGGGTTGTGTGTCTAACGCTTCAATATAATCTGGCGATATGTTGCTATAATTTTGCTGCGTAAAATGAATTATGCCAGGGCACGGACACCGCCAACAGACGGCTGATGTATTGAGTTGTTTGGCCCCAGGATTTGGAACCCCAGCTCAGAGGCCATCAGTCAGTTAATGGCAGCGGTAGAGAGTGGGTTCTGGCCACGATCAGACTGCAGTCTGCAGTCTGCTGCATAAATAAGTAGGTTGCCCGTGCAACAGCTTGTTGCATGAGCCGTGCCTGCCTGGCGGCCTGACATGTGAATTGATATGCCAACGCAACATGGCCAAAACCACAGTTGGCCAGCAAGCAGGCAACCAGGCAACCAGGCAACAGGCCAGCAGACAAGCAGCCATGCAACACTGGCAATTGGCATGAACATTCCATAAGCCTGCTCATCATTTCTCACAAATGCTTCAATTAATCAAAAGAGCGCACACAACTGTGTGGATTTAATAACATTATCGACAGGCAGACAGACAGACAGACAAACTCTTGGATATATAAATTATAGATCGCGTCAGTCAATAGTCAATAGAGCATGAAGCATGAAGTAACTTTAACGATCGTTCCCTGCCCGTTCCCTCCCAGAGAGAGACAAAGGACTGCAAATTGCTGGCCACGGAAATCGAGGAGTTCGTGAATATTCTATAAATAAGAATGGAATTCCTTGGGCTCCACTCTCCTCCCACTTGTCTCGACTGCACTTGGTATCCATCTTCATTGTGGCCTTAGTGACTGTCTGCGATTATCTGTTGGCACATTAAGCTAACAGCCTCTCCCTGAGCAAATCAGCAATTAACTTTTAAAGACAAAACTTGTGTGCGTCGTCGCGGCCCACGTTGATCGGCGGCTACCGGGTAATAGAAATGGCCCAGACCAGAACCCGGTTTTATTTCTCTTCTTTTCAGCTATTTAGAATGCTGCGGGTACTATTAGCATAGCCACCATCCTCCACAGTAGCCGACGGGGCACTTTTTCTTCTAATTGCGAATGGTGTCAAGTGGGACTGGGGACTCCGAGTCAGCATCGAGCCAGCTTCCAGCCGGGCAACTGCTCTTGCTGTTGGCAACATGTTGAGCAACATTTTGCAACGCCACGAACAACAATTAGTTTGCATGAGTAGAGTGCCACGCCCACTGACAAACATTGCCAGAGAGAGAGAGAGGCTGTCCCGTCCTGTCTGGCAGTCTTCCAATCTTCCAGTCGCTCGCTGTCTACCCAGAGCCTGTCTTTTTCGGTACTGACTGACGACAAGTCGTAAACATGATTTGTACATTTAATTTTCCATCATTTTGTTTGATTATTTTGCGTGGGCAGCATCCAGGCAGCAGTCGATAGATGGTTCGGATTGGATCGGTGCTGACCCAGTTAAATGGCCAGACCAGAGCGTTTTGCTTAATTGCCGAACCGTGGGCTGCTGTGCCGTCGACAGGTTCTATCTACCCCACTCCCCTGTCTCTGCTGACTCTAATCGCTGCCACTTGCCGGGGGAGCATTTAATTAAAGGCCAACCAGCTGTGGCGCAGGTATTTGCAGCTATTTATGGCAGAGCCGACCATGGAGTATCCATCCTCTAATCTGGCCGTCGATCTGCGACTGAAATATGCAACAAATTCTTCAGGCCTGTCGCAGGCAACCGACAGGGGAAAACAATGCCATGCCGGCAAAGTGCGGCTCGGCTCTCTGTCATTTTGCAATTTGCAATTGGAGTAGCCAACTCATGGCCAAAAAGGGTGTCAGGGACAGAAACAGAAACCGACGAATCAGAGACGTTGGCTGTGGTGCAGCTATGATACTGCGGAGAGGTTGAAGTCTTGTTTGGTTTCATTTTCCAAATCCAAATCCCTTTAATGCCCCAGCGACAAAGTCCAGCCAGACCAGACTGGCTTCACGTGTCCCTCGTAGCCCCAACACCTGGAGCGTAGCTCTTAAAGCTGGCAATTTATGGCTGAGCTGACACAATTTCATAAGGCCCGAAAGGCTCTGGCGGCCTAAAGATTACGCGATTGTGGCTAAAAATATCAACGCAGCGCCCAAAGGTCATTCAGGGTCCGGAACCGGACTCCGACCCTGCAGAAGATGCAACTTGCAGCCTGCAGCTGCATCGTCGGCATCATCGGCGTTGACAAGATGTTGGCCAGGCGTCTGGGCCTGATTTATAAGCCAAGTGCAAGTCCCCACAGTCCCCTCGACATTGAATTATGTGAAGGCGGCAGGGGAAAGTGCTGTCCGATGCCTATCGGAATTGCCACCAAAATCGAAATCGAAATTGGAATCGGAATTCGAATTCGAATTCGAATTCACCGTTCAAATGCTGCACCTCTGCGGCGACGCACCGGGATGATATTTTATTTATGCATTGACTGTGGCTCCCCCTCCCCTGTTTGGTGTCTTGGCCAGCTGTTGATGGCGTTAAATTAATGCGCTTAGTCGCCATCATCATCATCATCGTCATTATCATCACTGTGTCGTCGGTGTCTGCATATCGTTGTCGTCTGGCAATTGATATTTTAATCGGCATTTCAGTTTGTCTCTCCCCCTGGCCTGGCGCCAACGCTTGTCTGCTGTTTAGGGAAATGCTGACCCATGGTGGGGTGGGGGCTGGCATTATCAAACTGTAAGCGGCCAACAGCAGACGTGTCCCAAGCGCTCATGGCTTATGGGCACGCATCATTTTGCAACTGCCAATTAAGTTGTTATTCAATGCGACTCTGCCCCGATAAGAAACCAAAGTAAAATGCAACTCCACTGAGACTCAAAGCTGCAACACTGCGCAATGGGCCACATGCCTAGGACACATGTTGGGGGCAAAACTGTGAATGGAAAATGGCCAGGAAGTCGTAAAACGCGTCGAAAACAATAAACCAAAATACAATCAATCATTGGCAGCAGATTCCAAGAGTTCAATCACTCAAAGATTGGGCTACATGCAGTTCGAGAATATGCCTAGATTTCTATGAAGGAAAATCAATCAATATCTTTGGATGAACTGAGGCTTATCGCTCCATGCAAATCTCCCCCCATGTATAGTAATGTTAATTTAGAGCCATTTATGATTTCTATGGGGATTAAGCAACGTTTCCGCTTTCCCCCCACCACGCCACACAAATGTGCTGGAAATTCTTTTCAAATTGAGCGAATCCAGCAGACGCATAAAAGCATAAAAATTCTTCAAGATGTGGCTGGCTGCCTGCCTCATGGAGTGCGGCATACAGATTTGGAATTTATTTTTAGCCCACGAGTTCCGTTGCCATGGATCAGAGGCACTTAAATGGCAACACTCCTGCCACCCCTTGCTGCCACCGCTGAGTGGATGTGGATGTGGATGTGGATGCGCCTGTGATGCACCTCATCCAGGCCAACGCATGGGCAAACAACTTGGCAACTTTTGCTTTTAGTGCTTGGCTCTAGCTCTGGCTCTAGCTGTGGCTGTGACTCCTTTGGCATTTCCAGCGAAAAGTGAAATCCTTTTAAAGCGGCAGCAAACAAAAATCTAGGAAAATGTCGCCGCCAAAAAGTTATAAATCTTGTTCATATTTGCACGTGAAAGACTGAGAGCCAGAGGTAGAGCCAAAGCCAGACTCAAACATCAGCCAGGGAGCTGTGAGCTGAGAGCTGAGAGCTGAGAGCTGGGGGAAGCCATAAATGTCACACGGCATGGCCTGGCCTGGTCAAGAGGCAGGCAGACAGACAGGCCTGGCATATTAGTTTTCCTCGGAGCGGAGCGGTGCGATTTGTGTGTGTGCGGCATGGCAAAACGTGCTAAATTCCATGGGGCAGACATCCATTAAACAGCAGAGGCCCACGACCAGGCCACGCCGAAACATGCCAAGGCTAAAAAGTGCTAAAATCACATAAAACATGGCCTGACGCTGCTGATTCTAAATTAACTTGCGGCAGCGCAAAAGAACCACACGGCACACCACAGTGGTGCGGAATTGGGAAAAGCCATCAAGAATCAAGAAAATGTATAAGGAATGGGGTTAAGTTGATTTATAGATGGGATTCTGCATAAACTGTCATGTAGCTTAGAGTCAAATTTTGTGTCTGTGAGCTGCAATATGTTCATCCAAAATAGTCCCACTGTGCCTGGCATGCGACACTTCAGTGGAGGAGCAGCCAGAGCTGTTGCACTTTGCACTCCAGCCAGGAGAACTCCCCATCTAGACGCAACATCTCTTGCATTCTCAATGACGTACTCCTGGCTTGACTCTGGCATTTTGCACGAGAGTTGCAGCCAAAGATGTTGCCCATAAACATCATAAGCATCGTCAGTGCCAGTGCCAGTGCCAGTGCCAGTCCACAGTCCCTAGTCCCCGACCTCCTGGCTGTCTGTGATGAATGACAAATGCGCGAAATGCATAAAAGTGTGAACAGATTTAGCCACTAAATATAGCCACAACAGCGGAAATGGCAGCAACGAACACAATTCGTTGGTAAAAACTAATTTCAGTCCTCGTTTTGGTGCCTCCTCCGGCACCACCAATCCCCGTTTATGTTTGGTATCTCCTGCACCAATCCTCGGTTTGGTGTCTCCTCCGGCACCACCAGTCCCCCGATTCAGATGGAGCAACCCAAAAAGGCAGGGCATTGGCCTTATGCTAATGTTTTGCCTGGCGGTGCCAAATATGGAAGACAGACGGGCATATGGCCATGACCAGTTCAAGGGCTCGGGTGAAATTGGCTGCAGCGACGAGTCGCTTAAGGCCAGATAGAGACATCACCGCATTGGCAGTACCGAGAAGGGGGAGAGGGGAGACAGTGCAGCAGTGGGGGTGCCAGCGACATTGCGTAAACCGAGCAATCACATTTAATTAGCATTTGGAGCTGCAAATATGGAAAGTAGCGCCTCGATTGCATTGACCTCCCGCCTGGGAGACGCCAAAGAGTGAGAGAAGGCGG